CGTGGCTTCGTCCAAGAGCAGCACGATGGGGTTCTTGATGATGGCACGGGCGATGGCAATGCGCTGCTTCTGTCCACCAGACAACTGTTCACCGCGGTCGCCCACTAGGGTGTCAAACCCCAGCGGAAATCCCATGATAAAGTCGTACGCATTGGCTTGCTTGGCAGCTTCATGAATTTCTTCGATCGTCGCGCTGGGTTTGCCATGGCGGATGTTGGCGGCAATCGTGTCGGAAAACAAACACGGTTCTTGGCCGACGAGGCCAATTTGGTCTCGCAACCACTTGACGTTGAGCGCCTTCAAGTCGTGGCCGTCGAGCGTGACTCGGCCGCTCAACGGGTCGTAGAAGCGCTCCAAGAGCGACACGATGGTGCTCTTGCCACAGCCACTGGAGCCGACAACTGCGATCGTTTGACCGGCAGGTACTTCAAGCGAAACCCCTCGAAAAATGACGACGTCCGGTCTCGATGGATAAGCAAAGTACACGTTCTCGAACTTGAGATGACCAGCCACGTTGCGCAATTCGGCGCCTTGCGACGATGACGCGTCGATTTTGGACTCGCGGTGTATCAACTGGAATATGTCGTACGCGGCCGATCGGGCAGTCACAAACGCCTGGATGCTTGGCCCCGCGTGCCCCAGCGCCATGGACCCCATACCGACACAAAAAAATACCGTGATGACTCGACCGCCGTCGTAGCAGTTGTGGTGCGTGCATGGCGTGTCTCCCAGCTGATCGTGAACGATGCGGACCGCGCCATAGTACATTGCGACTGCATACATGCAGCAAGTGACGAGCTGCACGACGCCCATCCCGATTCCGACGGCCAGGCCCTTCTTGATCCCGCATCGCTCTGTCACGCGCAACGCAGCCATGTACTTGTCTCCTTGGGACTGCATCGCGTTAAACATGTGCACGGTCTTGATGTTGGTCAAGCTCTCTTCCGCTATGCCGCCGGCTTCCGCGTAGGCGTCGACACCGCTTTGGACGGCGGATGTGATGGCCTTTGTCATGCAGTAGCCACTAATTCCGATCACAGGCGCCAAGGTCAAGAGCACGAGCGAGAGTTGCCAGCCGTGGTAAAAGGCCAAGACGAGACCGCCGACGCCCATAAAGAAAAAGTTGATGCCGTCGCCGACTTTGCGCCCCATGCCTTCTTGCACCAGGAGCGTCGTGTCAGCCACGCGCGATGCGAGCTGCATAGCTTCGTTCACGTCGAACCAGCCGATCTCTTGGCGCAAGATGGCCGACGCGTACGCGTGGCGGAGTTTCTTGGCTTGTCGGGACGCAGAGATCGACCAGCACGCGATTTGAAGAAACCCGCACACGAGGATGACGGACGCCAGGACAATGCACTGGTACACGACCTTGTTCACGTTGACGCGTAACGTGTCGACGTCGAAGGTCTGGTCCGTGGCTGGACTAAACGAGTTGATCGAGTTCCCGAAGAAGATCAACTGGACGGGCTGACCAGCGCCTGCCGTCATGGCACCCAGGGTTCCCATCATCATTAGAATTACGTCCGTGGTATCGGCAAATTGAAACAGCTCGGAGATTGACGCCAACTTGGATGGAGCGTTGTTTGAAGGGGGGCATGCGAAGCCGTGGGGGTCGACACTTGCACGTAGCCGTCGTCGGCTATGTCCCCCTTGGGTTTCGTTGTGGTCATGTGTACGTTTAGATGTATGTTGAGAAGTGGCACGCGACACAGCGGTTTCGTGGATCGCTCGACATGGACAAAAAAGTGCATTCCCATTTCAACCTCAGCACGTGGACATTCCCACACGGGCGTTCGTTGACGAAATTGCTTCAGGATATTCACTCTCAAAAGTGATGGACACACCGATACGTCCGACAGCGTCCACTGGACTCGAGCTGTTAATAGGTGAGGAAAACAAAAACGCGACGGTCAAGAAGAAAATTTCGTGCCATGCGGCGTTGGTTCAACACAGCCCGCTATGCCGCCGTGCACAGCGCATTCCGGCGGGCCGTCGACCTTGTTTTTGTCTGAAACCTAGTCTATCCATAACAGTGATTGCAAGGACTATGCCGACCGAACAGCCCCGGGCGGACAAAGCGCTCGCCACGCCGGCGACACCGCCGTCCTGCAACGTCCACAAAGCCACGCAATCCTCCTGATTCGGACAACTAAGACCATCATTCGACAGATGTGCACGCATGCATTCTGAAACCGTCTCGACGCGCCAGCGAGGTACTAGTACGTTGGTGGCCCGCTCTTGATGCAACCACCGGCCCCGCTCCGCATGCGGCGCACACTCAGGACGTCACGATTTCACCACTAATTTGCGCGCGTTCTTGGACACGCATCCCAACTCTTCTTGGAGTCATAGGGTCGGAATAAAGACATGCACGCTAGCACTCATGCTCATCCTGCGTGCGACAGCCAACACTCCGAAGATAAAGTCAAAATCACACGAAACTCGTGAGGGTATTCATTTACTGTTAGTTCAGCGTTCTGAACATGTCTCCATTTGCCGCGACACCAAGTTGGCGTAAATGCC